TGAAGATGAAGATACTCGAACTGGAAGTGGGGACGAGGAATCCACCACCGTCTTCCGATGCGATTGACCCACGCGAATCCCTTCGTCAGACGGACACTTGCACACGAAATCAAAGCCAACTGAACAGTCGTAGACCAAATGCTTCCACAAAATACGATCTTATTTCGTACATGCGTCCTGTTTGATCTTCTACTTGCAGACTCGACGGCGGCTCATTCGATCCTCTCACCCACCAGCCACGAATGCCAGTGCAGCTGACCGGACAGAAAAAGGACGCAGAGGTGCAGCCCAACTTCCAAGTGCCACTCGCCTCAGCGCCCACCGTTCGAGCCTTGGCGATGGCTTCGTCGACTTCGGCGTCGTCGTCGTCGGCTCCCGCTGCTGCTGCTGCTGCTGCTGCTGCTGCTGCAGAAGGTGAAGACGTTTCGGCGAATGCGAAGCGGACGAGCATCGAGTCGAGCCGGCCGATGGAGACTGAAGATGTTGCGGACGAGCATGTCGTGAAACAGCCGCAACGAGGACGTCTTCGTGGCGAGGCGTTGGCCAAGGCAAATCGCAGAGGCCGCCAGACACTGGCCGGTTCGAACGACCGCCTCGAGACTCGGACGACAACTGAGCTCGCTGGGTCTTGCAGGCGAGGGCGAGGACGGTCGGGCTCGCCGTTGCTATCGCCGTCGCCGTCGCCGCAGAAAGGCGACTCAAGGAGAGGAGGAAAAGGTGAGAAGAGATGGGATTGGCCGGAATCGCTGCAGGCGTCCTGCAGAAAAGACGAACAAGAGAGCGGCAGAGAAAGACTCGAGCTTGCGGATACAGAACATACACACACACATACACGCACACAGAGCTCACTCTAAAGACACTTTAGGCCCCTGGCGGCGTGGCTAGAAGGTGTAAACATAAGACTGGTGAGTTGAGCGGATCCGAGTCTTCTGTGCTGCTCGACGATTCGGAAGAAACAGATTTAGCGGCATATATGCGAATAAAAGTTGGGTTTGGAGGAATCTCTTCTTTCATAATTGTTGAGTTTAATTCCATTTCGAGTGAAAGTGTTGCGTGAAGAGATTCGAAGGTCGGTTCCACCAGAAGACGACGGCCGATTCGTCTTGACCAGTTGCCGATTGGCTCTACTGGAACATTCATGTTGGCGCTGTTTTGAAGGTGATCTCCTTCGATTCCCGTGAAAAGGTGCTGAGCTTTCGTCTATCGTGTGATGGACATCGTCAGAGCGAGGTAACATCGTCACAACCAAATCCGAGCCAACTATTCAAGAAAACTCACCAGCAAATCTCTAAAAAGTGGTATATCTACTCTACATCTGGCCTCTTTGATCAAGTATAAAGTGATTTGGTTGGTTAAGGTCATATTTCAACCTCGATTCCTGTGAGTGTCTGTCTCTGTATTTGTATGTGCATGTTTGTGTTCGCTTATGCACGAAACTCGAAGTGATTGGGACAACAAATAGTAGTGTCTGTTTTCGGCCATCAAGGTTGGATGATCAT